ATATTGTGTTCGCTTCGCCCAAAAACTCCCACTGTATTGAATATGGTACTTGCATATGCTTCAGCTGCTCAGTTGAATATCAGAGCTATTTCAGTGGCTAGAACTCAAACTACTAAATCTAACACAATAGGATCCATTAAGGACGCGAAAGATTTTGATCAGCGTGTTGTACAAGCGCTCACGGTGGAATTTCGACGAGATTTGCGATCTTTACAATTTGGGCAAAATTCATGAGAACGTGTTTTCATAGGCTCGTAACTCGGTGATTTTTACAGACTAGAGCCTGATTCATGCACCATTCGGTAGCGCAGTTCCTAGTAACTTTGGCTGAGAAAAGCAAGCAGGCAAGGTTGCTGACAGATACACGAGAAGTGCGGGCCAATTTACGCACTTTCGTGATGCAGTTACAGTCACCTCACCGTATCTCACCAAAAAGACCCTGCAATCCTCAAAGACCACGATTTTCGTAAAGAGCGTGTTCGAAAACCTCTATAAGCGAAGTTTCCTTACAATCCAGGAGCATCAACATTTTGACCAAAATCCATCGGCGAGCTTCCAGAGCGTAAAACGAGAAAAAATGAAATGACCCGAAAATCTCGGAAAACTTGCTCATAGTGGTTATCCGACCTGCTGGTTACGAAAATCACATCTGCTTAGCAAGAGAGCTTCATATTTTAGAGTTACGTTGAGAAAAATTTAGAAGGACATGATTTTTCCAGAATTCACCAGCCCTTCTAACTCCTTTGAAAAGGAGTGTGCGGCTACTTTCTAGCGCTCCATAATCTACAAAAGAAGTACTATTGAAAATTTCTTTCTGAATGTACTGGGGGCAATACGCGCTGCTTCACACCTTTGCGAAGAGACGTCCGCAGAAAGTTTTGAGAATACTGAAATCGAGATATCAAGGACATTCTGCATACCGAAAGATTTGCCTTGATGAGCTGAGCACAATGCATTTTTCGGATTCAGAAAATATCCACTCCAAAGAAAGTTACGGCGAGTAGAATCTGGAAACGAGTGATTTTTCCAGAATTTACCAACGCTTTTTTCTCTTTTGAAAAGAAGTCTGCGGCAGCTTACTAGCGCACTATAATGCACAAGAAGAGCACTATCGAATGGTGCTTACTGGAAGCTTTCAAGTTGGATAGGCGCTGCGTTACATACTTGCAAAGGGACCTCCTCAGAACAATTTGAGAAAACTGAAAACAAGATATAGATGACATGACGTATGTAGAAAGATTCGCCTTGACGAGATGAACACAGTGCTGCTTTCGAATTTAAGGAAGTTATGGCGCTGCATAATTTGCGATAATCCGGAATCGCGAAATTTCTGGAATTTCGCGCAATTCCCTCTGTGAGTGGTATTGTACATTGCACAGCACGCGCGGCATTCCGCGATATGTGCTTCTCATGCGATTTCCAACCATTTCCCTTTGTCTTCTTGCATTTTGGGACCCGTCATACTTCGCCGAGAAAAGCCCACTTTCACACATATCCATGCAGAATGAGCTGCCCAGTTTCACATATATCCATGCAGAATGAGCTCTTAAACTATACCTGCCCTATTTCTGCTGTGCTCAATAGAATTTGTACGTAGCCTCTGGAATAAGCACACTGAATGGTCCATTTACACTAAAATTCCAGGAAAGAAACTTATATCCCACAACTAGGCACATCCGTATACTGGAAGATGCGCCTCGCCGAGCTGAGTTGAATGGTACTCTTATATATAGAATTCATAAATTTTGAAGCAAGATAAGGTCTTTTTTTATAAAAAGTTAGGCGTTGCGCGACAAAGTTAGGTGACTTTGGCCGCTTTTCCGCCGACTTTTGCCGCGCGACGCGGCAAAAGTCACCTAACTTCGGCGGCGCCGCGTAAGTTAAGTGCCGCCGCCATTTTTTTTCACAAATTACGGGTGGTATTGTAAAATAATTGATGTCAAATGATCAAAAGGAAATTAGTGAAATTGCAGCCTGTACGCATTTAGGATTTGAAGGAGAAATACCGTTACGCTGGATCTATGAGGGAATTGCTCTCAATACCCACTGGAACCTTCGCATCCCGCAAAGACCATGCATGAGATCAAGAATAATAGCCTGAGGTAGGTTTAGTTTTCCAAATGCACTTTCTTAACTCAAAGCATTGTCCAATGAGTTTGGACTGAGCTCGACTTACTCGAAGTTTTTGCAAAAGTTAGAATTAGCGCAAGATGATATTAACACGTTGACGACCGAGCCATTTTTGACCACCTCAAAATGGACTGATGATCTACGGCTGCGGTTTGGACTGTTTAACAGCTACCGCAATGCCGTGTGTTCTATATGACAACCAGGCCACCAGTATTATCACTGCATAGAAGTTACCTGAGAAATTTTCGTTTACACATGATAAATTGATGCACGAAAGTGCTACAAGGTGGTCAGGGCGTGCATACGCACGGATACACACGGTCGTCAACGTGTTAAATGTCCAAAACGATATCGTGATACGACTAGGTTATGAAGAAAGTTCTGCCGATAGAGGTTGAACCAAGTTGTCTTGCTAATATCTTCATTGTGAGTGTCTGTCAATCAATGATATTTTGCTCATGCGTACTGAAAACCTTATACTACTATTTAGGTTTTTCACAAATACTCTTTCCCAATCAAGCGGCTGGCAGCGTTTCGAAATAAGTGGAGAATTCGAATTTTTGGCTGAAATTGATGAGTTATTTTGATGCCTGGAGAAAGGCCCAGATACCGGAGTAAGTAATAGTCGAATATCGCTTCATCTAACCAATACGAATGGTATAAAACGGATTTTCAAATCAGCTTCTGCAAGTTCTGCGCACCTCTAATCTGAAAAATGTGCCTTTTCGCAGACCTAAGCGCAACGTTTTCTACTAATATGTATGTAGATGCGCTCTAAAATCGAAAATTTTTTTCAGCGAAAGCTCTTGCGCTTTTCTTTTCAGCATTCTGTTTCGTTTCTCTAAGTCTTTCACTGTCTTCATATTGTAAGCTGAATCTACCGACAAAAGCGAGGTGTACAAAATTGCCGTCGGAAACAACTGTCGTCGTATATAAGCTGCGCTAGGGTAAAGGAGAGATCTTATCGTATTTTCGTCCACATTCACACATGTGTGTTGGCACATTCGATCGTTGCTAAAAACAAGATCAATGGGATTGCAAAATATCGCAGTAGTTTGAGAAATCATTGGCGTTGACCATTTTTACGGAATTAGTTTTGCGAAATTGTAGAACAATGCTTGAATCGCGCAAAACAAAGCAAGAAAGAAATTTGAGGGTCTCTCCAATTCCCTTACACTCATGCAAAGCAAAGCTTAATAATTTGTTGGTAATGAAGTCATGGATTTGGAAAAATTAGGAGACAATTTCTTAGTTTTTCTCCTTTTTTATTATCTTCTGCCCTCCAAACCTATCTTTACTAGCACATTTAACTGACCTATTCCTACTATCCCGTTCACAACATCTTTGAACTCACATCTGCATTGTCAATTGTTTCCATTGATTGTTACGTGCACGTTAATCCCAGCCAGGTTTAGGTGTCAGTTTACGGTACTCCAGTAGGTCATTAGCGATTGGAGCACATCCGGTGCTGCGCAGAGCTTGCTCTAACTCAAATCTGCTTGCGTTAATTGCTCTACAATCAATTGCGGTGTCGATTTAGTAGCTAACTAGTCAGGATTGAAAGTAGAATTAGTTCTTTGGAGATATCATCACGGACATCAAAATTCAATAATTTAAGAAGTTTCCTTGAGCTGCCAATAATTTGGATGGAGAATCTGTAAAAAAGCTTAGTTCTGTTTCTAGAATGCAGAAAATTTTCTTAGTCACTCATTTTACTGAATTTGCCATTCACTCCACTTCCTTTTTTTTTCAAGAATATTGCGATTTATGCACCTCTACAAAGTCTTTTATCTCTATGCGAACCATTCTTGATCCATTGTCTTTTGTTGGCAACACACTAGAAGGCGACCGTGACGTGCACTCGAATTACTGTAGGATTACTGTCGGATTAGCGACGTTGCACTTCGCGTTGGCGTTGTGACGTTGTTGTGATTAAGCGATTAACGTCGCAGCGTGTGAAAGAATGTGTTCGCGCGCTTGCGACAGTGATGGACTACCGTAATCTAGTAAAAAGAAGAGAAGAGGGTCTGCAGATGTTTTGCCCCCTTTTAGTGAGTGGTTTTCGAAATGGTGGGCTTTCTTTTGCATGTGATGAAAGGGGATTGTTTTTTGATCACGGGGTTGAGCAGGACACCACCAAAATACTATTCAATCACGCGTAACATACATGCACGAGAATAACTACAGTAGTGAACCAAATTCAAAAAATTCTCCAAATATACTTGCTGGTATTGATCATAGATGAAAAGGCATCTACGCCCTTTTGATAGTTCATTTACTGGTCTGTCCTAGCATAGAGTCTCGAATAAATTTACGTGAGGACTTTAGTTGAATTAGCACATAAAGAGGTGTATTAGACGTTGATTAGGTAAAGCGGAGTTAACGAGGAGCACATTGAAATAAAGCGAAGATAACCATGCTTCAACTGCGTACTCGCAGATGCTAGCGATGAGGCCATTAGGAACCTAACCTTTTTTATCTCAAATTTATTCAAGACTACTGCTCCCATCAGATTGATCCAAACAAAACAAGTTTTCTGGTGTTTTTTTTTCTAAAGGAATTAGAAAATTGGGTTCTGAAAGGTGAACTTCTACGTAACGAAGAAGAAGCTGGAACGTCCATGCTTCTCTTGCATCAAACAAAAAAATCCCAGTTTATTCGCTGTGAAGGAATTTCGTGGGAAAATTACCTATGGCTTAAACAAGAAATTCCTGAATTTAGGCTTCTGTCACAATTGTCTGCTAACTTCAAAAATAAGACACTTGGAAAGAAATTTCAGAGTTTTGATTGTTTATTACCTGCACACGGACTTCTGGCAGTTTCACTTTATTAGCGAGTTGCTCACGAGCGTAGACATCGGGATAGTGACTTTGTTCAAATGCTTGCTCCAATTCATGCAGTTGAAATGTAGTGAAAGTAGTGCGGTTGCGTCGTTGCTTCTTTGATTCCTGCAATAAGTACTGTTGGAGTAATCCACTCATTTGCTCGTTCTAAAGGTAATAAATTGTGATTTGAGGTTAGGACCGGACATTATGCAGCTTTGCAAAGAAGGGTCAAATCGAGACTTTGAACATGACTGCAAAGATGATATCAATAAATTGTGAGGAATGTGACAGTAGCGAAATTCTCAAAGGCTTAGCAAAGATTGCTCGCCTTCATGAAATTCTGAAGGAAAAAATTTATGAAATTATTATTACTATTATTTAAAATTGTAGTCTATTGCCCGGATTGAAGCTACGCGCGTCTCAATGTGCACTGAAATTTTGGACTGAAAATTATCGCACCAAATCCAAACTCTCAAAGAACACGTCATTCTGAAGCTCGAGAGATTTTTCGGTTAATCTTATCTAACAAGGAAAGGATACTTAGGTGATCACGGCCATTCACGATGAGATTTATATCACTAGATACCTAGAAAATGATCTCAAATCTACTTTCCTTATCCGCTACGCTCTCTTATATAAGATTCGTGAACGTATTCACCATCAAATTTTACACTGTGTTGTGAAAATGGAAGTCACGGCTATTGATTGAAACGCTATTTACGCATTGAAGCAGCTTAAAAAAATAACACTACTGTGGGTTTGGACAGATGTCTCACAATCACAAAAATTCGACAAAAGGCTGAGATGCTGATGATTTTTGTGCTCAACAGAAATTGAGCCAGGAGGAATTCGTAACTCCATTCAAACAACCGTACAGCACCTAATAAGCAGATTCAAACTCATTGTTCAGGCTACTGATATGCTACTTATAAATCTTCCTATTGCAAGAGAAGTGATAAAAGAAATTCGACGCTTTGTCGTTATCTTCTAGAAAAGACGTAGGAATAGGTCTCCTTGGGAACAGGGAGGTTTTTTGATCTTTGTCAAATTTTTGCGATGCGATGCGTAAAGTTAATGGATTTTGCGTGCAGTACAGAAATTTTTGTTGTCTCATCAAAAAGCGTGTGCAGTTAGTAGAGCTCTTATTATACACTGTGGTTGTCAACTTCTTAGCATGACAGTAGGATGATACTACAGACGGGATCAGTAACCCAGTCATCCTTACCTTTTCATGTCTTTTTTCCAACGAGTCCTGCTTGATTTCAATGGGATGATCGTAGGGTGAGATCACTGAAATTAGCGAAAATTATGAAATCAAAAACAGCTTCAAGAGTCGAAGGGTAAGCCAGAGCTGGAAATATCAAGGAACTTATTGAGATATGGGAAAGTATGCTCATGTTTGACGAAATCCCGAAGTGGTTTCTACGAAATAAAAAACCGCCCAACCGAAGTTTGGCAGCGTAAGCAGTGTTGTCAGGATGTGTGCGCTCGGTACTAATCTAGTGAAATATGGTTATCTAGTTATAAAATTACGATAACAAATTCAATATAAAAGCAGTCGCACACCTATTAGTCAATAAATTTCGCCTAGTAAATTCGTATTATGTATTTATCCGATTGTGATCGAATCGTTGAACAGCCGGAGGGTTAAGGTCTTTTAATTGAGCATATAAGAGGGGATAAGAGAACTCACTAGCCGTTCGCGGTAATCCGGTGATGTTGTCCATCTGTGGGGTCCGTGTGCGCTTGCTGTGTGTATGTATATATTAGTGACAGATGAGTGCATTTACATGAAAGGGGTGCGGCTTGTTGTATGTTGTCGTCGCGTGATTGGTCGAGACGATAGCCGTGGGAGGAGCCAGTTGGACGAGATGTTGGTGGTGCTGATGGGCTTATAGATTTATGGATCATGGCTTCTCAATGTGGGCGGTAGGAAAGTTATAGATTCGGAGAAAACTGCTGAACATAGACATTTTCTCGCGTAAGGTGCGAACATTACTTGCTTTACATATTTTCTTCATCATATTCCTACAATTCTTAGCAGTATGAGAGGGATCTCATGAAGTTCCATCAAAATAAACAAAATTGTGTTTCTTCTTCAACAAGAAGCTTGAAATAGATTTTTCTCGCTCGTTTATGCGGTTGACATCTTCCAATAAAGTCGGCCCTATGCCGGCTTTGATCGAATTATTCCAGGTAGAACGGCGTGCATGTCTGATAGAGCATATGGTGATGCACTAAAGCTAATTTGGCTTGAACACAAAAACAATGCTCGCCCCCGTACACAAAACTAGTCAAAAATAGGATTTTCGGTGTTGGGTAGTAGTCTGAGGGATGAATGAAGTTCGGAAAGTCAGAAATTTAAAATTTCTACAGACTTGGTCGTTCTAAATCGTTCTAAAACTTAACTATTACTTGAGCTTTTTTCCAGGCATTTGTTCCTATAACAGTTTTGTTTTTCAAGATGATTTTTTGGGTTTCTCAAATTTTTTTCTCAACTTTGACGTGGATACATCTTTGAGCTGCGACCTCTTTGGACTAAATGATGTTTACAAACTAATATGCATTCACTCAATTATGTAATATACATTTACTCCAGCAAACTTTGAAAAAAATCTGCATACCTAAAAAAATTTATTAGGTTCAACAGATAGAATGCCCATAGTGTCACACGTTTTTCTTAAGAAGGATTGCATATCCAGCTAGATGGTACAATCTCTTTTTACTCAACAAATAAGCTGCTATTCAAATCAGACATAGTGATGAGAACGTTTGATTTTGTCACAATTTCAGCCTGTAATCAAATTTTTTTCTAATGCTTTTGTTCAATAGAACACCAAAAATTCATATTTTCTGCCTTCTCGACTAATGTTAACGACTTACAAGTACTCATTCTGTAGCGTTCTCGAGGTTAGCTGTCATTTTGCAGAATCGCTGCAAGCTTACTAGACCAAGTTCTTTGTACTTTTTCAGTATGTGATCAACTCCTCCCACTTACGCGGGCATTACGGTAGAAATCAAGTGATAAACTTATAATGTTTCGTACCTTTACGTTGTCAATTATCCAATTTATCTTTACTCCGTTGGGATTTCACTAATGAGGGCTTTTAACGGCATATCATCGGTGTTGGGGAAGTACTCTGACTTCAAGCTTCCGTACAGTAAACGAACTTTGCTAGGATAAATAGGGAACGCGAGAGTTTGCAATACGCACTTCGTTAGAACTGTAGAGTCTATTTTTGAGGGAGAAGCAATTGGCTGCTGATGTAAATCATGTAAAAGCAATATGTTGTGATTGGAATTTTCAAGCTATTTTTGGTGAAAATAATCAAATCTGTCTTGTTGACGGTGTCAAGGTTGATTGAAAAGTAATGTGTCCTTTATCACCCAAATGACAATTCATTTGTGTTTTTCGGGCATTATATAACCTTAGGATATTGATTACCGGTTAAATGTAATCGTAAAAAAGTGCCCAGACTTTTCTGCATTAGAAATTCTTCTTTTTAGCGCAGAAATCGTGTAACTACTTATAAGATTTATATTAACCTCAGTAAATGTTATGCCCTGTCTTCGATCCTTTTTCAGACTAAATTATAATCTAAGCGAAATCAATAGGCCATTTTGAGAAATTTTCCACTAAGCGAAGTTGGAAATAAATCAAAATTAGCCTACGCGCGGTTCGGCGACATCGTTTCCGTCAGAGCTAAATTATGAGCGTGAGGATAACAAACTTTTTTTACAGGGCGACCTGAGTGAAGCGTGCGTGGGCTAATAATTGAAGAGTAATTTTTCAGTTTTACGCATATTGTACTCCTGTTTGAAAAAAACTAAAGCTGTTTTTCCACATTTAGAATGTTTATAATGAACTTGTGATGCCGAGTGCGAGGCTGGGCGAAGCTTCCGCATCATAAAGCGATACTTAAAGGCAGTGGACAGGCAAAATGGACCCCTGTCAGATTTTGGTAGTTTCGGGTAGTGGACCCCCCAAGTACACCGTAGCCCCAACCCCAACTTCCAATTGATGCGCTAAGTCCTGAAAAAAGCGCTTTAAACTTCCACCAATAACGCCCACTCAATGCAAGTGGGCGGGGCTGGTGGAATTTTGAAGCGCTTTTTTCAGGACTTAGCGCATGAATTGGAATTTGGGGTTGGGGCTACGGTGTACTTGGGGGGTCCACTACCCGAAACTACCAAAATCTGACAGGGGTCCATTTTGCCCGTCCGCTGCCTTTAAATCTATCATCATCGGGTATCGGGTTGGAAAGAATAGACTGTCGCTTTTTCTGGATTTTTGGAAAATTGATATCTCCCATAAAAGGCATACACGAAAGAAAAGTTTTATCTTTGAAATTCAAAAGGTTCGCAGTGCACAATTGCATGAGTAGGACCCTGGATTCTAGGGGCGGAGTTTGCCATTTTATGCTCTTCATTTTCTCGATTTTCAACGGTGTAGCAAATGTACCAGTGTATAAGTTTGTATGCCTGCTACTACGTGCAGGATCGAGTGAGAATGAAAATCCTTCGGGAAAGACCCGATTTTTGGCACCATGGATTCTTATATTCTGGCTTCAAACTTTGCATTAATCACACTTACTCGAATGTGCGAATGTCCTCTTGTAGAGCTTACTTTGCTCTATTGTATAGTACCTTATTTTTTCCAGATTTTATTGTACTTTGCCATGAAATATCGGCATCTTTTTATTTCCGACCTAAAAGCAATGAATAGGTGGACAAATGTTGTCACGCCAGTTTGAGCAAAAGTGGACCACTACTTTTCCATGTACGGTGAGGAGATGGTCATTTACGCGACATCCTCCAATTTTAGTCTCTGGATGAAACAAACAGAATTTTGTGATTTTCCGTATAGAATTTTTAAGCCGTAATTCAGCAGCAGCAATCTTTATTAACCCGAAATACATAAACGATACATACCATGGGTAACCTTTATACACTGAAATTGATTTACCTGCAGCTCAGTGGCGTACCGAGGGGGGGGGGGGGGCGGGAGGGGGGGGCACGCGCCCCCCCCCCCCCCGAGAATGGGTCGCGAAATTTTTGAAAGTTACCTATGTGGGTTATAAAAATGTGCAAGTGACTTGTTTATTTTTGTAAATAATCAAAATAATTTTTAAAAATTTTTAAAAATTCAGATTAGCTTTGTAAAAAATTTTTTTTCGGGGGATTTTAGGGGTCGGAGACCGCAAAAGTTTTGAGAAGTACCCCAAAAAAATTTTCGGAGTGCGTGGCTAACGCCACGCACCTTCTTTAGAGAAAAATTTTTGTCGCGCCCCCCCCCCCCCCCCGAGCCGAAATCCTGGGTACGCCACTGCTGCAGCTCTTTTGACTCTTATTTCAGCGCAGTCTCTCTGCTGAAATTGATTTCCGACTCAGCCAGATTTTTTGTTCTGTGGAACTCTCTATGACTGTTGCATCTGCAAAATCCGTTTCTCTTCAGTTAGGAACTAGCGGACCATTAATTTGTAAGATTTCTTTGATTTTGAATTGGCAAGATTGATTTTCGACTTCTCGGAGTTTTATAGAATAAGTCTGTACACGTAGGATTCGTGAAAGTAATTCATCTAAAAATTGGCTATACACTCAACGAAAATTTTCAAAAAGTAATTTCTTCCATTTCTGGAGTTGATTGTAATTTTCTGATCATTACGTGCCTTTACATGTACCTCTTGAAAACCGGAGGCATCATCAGGCTTTTTTTTTTTCAAATTTTTTTCACCTTCTCTGAAGGACGGTAGAGCAGCATTATTTCTACTTACCTTCTGCTCAATCATAACATAATCGTGCTATCGGACACGAAACCATTACAGAGGATAATCACCGAGGAGATGCGCCGCGCGAGTTGACGGCGCGTTCTGTCGCCAAAAGTGTCGCAAGCAATTTGTCGCGCGCGGGTTACGGTGGAATTGACTCGCTTATAATGGGGCGCTCGTCCTCGTGAAGGCATCCTACACGCTAATTGATGCTGAATGTTGGTCGTTAACTGGTCATTAATGAAGTGGGATAGAGGTGACGAACACTGAAGGGGTTTAAGAATTCTGAACTTTAGGTGTTTTTCACCTGACATAGGCTTATTTTCGACCAAGATCTATAGCTCTAAATTTGCGCATAGCTTCTAGCAGAGGTTAGGGATTCCCGCTTATCAGAAATTAACTTTGTTGACCATATATGAAATTTCAAAACAATTTCAGAACTTCCTTTTCTTCTTTATTTTTTGCAAGTCGACAAATCAAGTAAATAAATCAAAAATGTGGTGATACTTGTGCGTCATCACATACGCCGTCTGCTGTTGATGTAAATGTCGGTTTTTTTGACTACTTTCAAAAAAGAAATTATTTTTGGAGGGGGGGGGGGGGAGGGACGCGTGGCGAATGTCTTGTAAAGGAGCAAAATCAAGGTGGAGTTTAGGTATCAGGAACGTTCAGCGATTAGCCACATATCTAGGCCAGTCTCCCCTCATTTTCAGAAATATGAAAGCATTAGGATACTTTGTGCAGCGACTTTCCAATATATCTGAGGAGGTATCAATCTATCAATATATCTGAGGAGGTATGCTACAAAGGAAGAAAAAAGGAATAAAGGAATTCGACGAACTCACCCTCTGGAAAAATGGGATGTTTTTTCAATTTTTTGCAAGCTTATAACCCTGAATTTTCACGAAGGGAGTGTTGCGGACCATAAGCTCATCTATTTGAATCTGAACAGTCAATCATGTCGAAAAAAGTTTCTTAATCATCATCAAATTAAATCAAGAAGGTGATTTGAAAATAGCATAAAAATCACATTTCGGGAAGCCAAGCTGATGAAAAGCGGGGATATATGGTTCATCAAATACAAGAAATGTACTTCTATCTCTCTCGCAGTTCTTATATGAACTGACTCCAAAATCGCGCTGTGATTTCTGTAAAGATTCACACCTTTCCTGTGGCTTCTTCTCTTGCATTCCAGTAGAGTTGTGCGCGATGGAGGTGCAGCATATAGGTCAGGTAACGTGATTACGAACTGCATTTCCATTCTGCACCTATCCTATCTCTTTTTATGTATTTTATCGAGCTAATTTTTGAAACGACAGCCAAAGGAAGCAGGAACATGTTTGCTTTATGAAGTCTAGCAGTAGCGGACTAGTTTACAAGCCTCTTTCCTCAGGCATAATTCGCGAAATTTTCAAAATTAGCCCATGAATTTAACAGGATAAGTGACTTTCTTCTACTTCAAAATCCAGCTTTCTTGTCGACTAAGCTTAGCAACAAGCAAGGAATTAGCCCACTTGTTTATTTTGATAACAAAGTGCTTAAAAAGCGAGAATAGATAATTCTAAGCGAAGGAACTGAACGAAATCGTTGTTAGCAGAGGAACTTCTGAACTAAGGCATAGGCTTGATCTAATAGTCCATGAACTCAGTAAATCCGGAAAATTTGAAAATCTACAAAAATAGTTTTTGAGCAAACTACACAATCAACGCTAATATACTCGAAACAGAAACCAAGAAGGTAAATAGTAGGATCAAGACACTCCATGATGCATAGAAAGTCAAAAAGTTATCGCCTATGAAAGGGTGCATGTGTTCATCATTTTTCGATCGACTAATCAGCGCCGAAAATACACAAAAAGACATTTTGAGCGAAAGTATAAAGGTAAGGCAAGAGATTCCCGCACAATACAGCAGCCGAAGCGCCGGCAACCTGAAAAGAAAACCCTCAATAAAAGTTTGAATTCTGAGAAAAGTCGTGCTGTAAAGCAAATTGTATGCAAAAAGAAAACAAGATTGCTCTTACTTTATCAAGCAAACTGTGACAGCAAAAGGAGTTGAACAGGTGAAAACCCTGAAATACTGCAATCGTAAAGGTGAAATCGAGAAAATAAGATAAATTTTGGTATACACTCTCTTCGGCAAATAACTTGCCGTAAGCTAATGCACCCTTTCAAATGAAAAAAAGAGAAAGCATCAATTTTAACTTCGTAAAAAGCTAATTAACTCACCCACCAAATGTTGAGTACTATCCAACCTACAAGACATTGAGCACACCTCCGTTGTTCCTGCCTTCCCCGTATCCTGGTGTCATCGTCGAATTGCACTACCTGACAGGTAACATTGTGCTTAGCTTGAGGAAAGATATGAAGAATTTGCAAAGATTCTAAACTGCTCCAAATCATGGCTTCACATTCGCACCTCTTTTGCTATAAGAAGTATACTGTAAATCAATGTGAAAGTATGACCGAAAATGTCAAGACCGGACCAACGTCCCCCCTTCTTTTCGCATTGCATACGCGAATACTCTATGTTCAAATCACATCTTGCTGTCCACTTTGATAGGCGACTGAGACTGAAATAGTTTTCATCCGTAATCATCAACGAACCCAGTGAGTTTCTTAACACATTAGTTAGGCTTAAATCACGAGATCGTTATGCATAGAGTTAGTTAGCCGAACCAGAGCAGCACTTGCGCATATCGACCCTATCCAGTGGGCTCGTTTAAACGGGCGCTGTGGTCATCATGACTTGAGCAAAAGTGTGAGCTAGCGTTCAACAAGAAGATGTAGCGATTTGGGCAAATGTTAGATCACTCAAATGAAACACGATGAAAACTCACGCTTCCAAGGAGAAATACAAAAGCGTAGCCAGTTCCAGTCGGAAGATGCCCTTCCAGATGCTATTGTCTCTATAAAGTTATATTAGTATGGCATTTTCGTTCAGACTTTCCTATCCTTCGCTTGACTCATACATACTAGTTATACGACTCGTCAACCGCCCCTATCCTCATAAATCTCGGTCTAAATCATCCGATCACTCGCGACGATGGGTGACCCCCGAAGGCGGTGGCCAAGTTTTCTTTGAAGTGGCTTTTGGGCGCAGCGTGCATTTGCACTCTAAGCACCTAACTGTATCAGATTCAGATCAGTCCTAGTCACAAGTAACCACGACGGCATCCGCCATTTTTTCTGATCTCTTTAGTGTCATAGCTGCCGTGATTTGTGTGTGGTTGATAGGGATCTGACGTCTTTTTTTGATTGGGAAGTGGTCGTGCGTTGTGCAAAAGCGGCCGCGACCAGCGCGGGACTGCCTCGGTCAAATCCGAATTTAGCTATCCAGTCTGGATGTGTTACGTACGATGTACGTTTTGATTTGACTGAGGCACTCCCGCGCTGGTCCCGGCCACTTGTGCACAAAGGCAACTACGATACCACGTCAAAGCAGTTTCTCACCAAAATTTGGTTGTCGAGTCTCATATCATAAGCCAAAGCGATCCTGCCTAACTCCATGCAGGTTTAAAATCGCATAAAATCTTGAAGAACATCGTTTTCCTTCTTCAAGAAAACAACGCTTGGACGGTCAGGTGAAAGGAGCCGTTGGAATGCGTAGGAAAACCGGAGAAGTCTGCAGTGCAGACCAAGTCGCTCGGTGCGGATTACTCTGAAAACATTTTTCTCTGCGTAGAGGGGTCAAATGGAATAGGATTTGTTGCAGTGGCCTAACTAATAGGCCCTGTGTAGTAGAGTATGTGGAGATCGCAACCTCAGTTTTGGTGAGAGACTGCCTTTCAGAGGTCTGCATGGTCAAAAATTCAGGGTCGGTAGTAAACCTATCGAAACTCAGAGTTATAACTCAGAGTTAACTCTGAGTTATCTCTGAGCTAACGCGCAACTTTTCGACCCCCTTAACAGGTGTTTGAACAGATCAAATCCGGAAAGTGATGATATGCCAGGATTCTCCTTAACACGTAGTTTATTCCTAGTAGCGCAACATTGTCCAAATCGTCCTGCACAAGAAACAGCGCCACCAAACGCGCAAATAGTCTCTGCGATAACTCTGAGTTTGGTGCGAGTTTCAGTCTATCGTGGAACTCAGAGATAACTCTGAGTTTGGTCAGAGAAAGAGAAATAGTCCGCAAAAGAAGAGGGGCAGATAAAAAGTCCTCCGGGGTACATTTTACTCGTAGTTTAAGCAGGCATGATGGGGGTATCGTGGTGCGCAGTGAATTAAAAAATTTTGAAATTTTGTAAAAACTTGGCCCAGGGGGTTATTCGATGCGCTGGTCACGCATATGGTACCCATTTTTCACTATGGGGTCATGTAGAGGTGTTACGGTAGGTTTACGGTAGATGGGAGAAAGTCACGAAACTGATCGAACTTGGTACACTGGGGTTATTCGGGGCGCCGATAACGAATATGACATGCAGATTATACTGTGGTGTCATCTGACGAGGTTACGGTAGGTTTACGGTAGATAGGAGAAAATCACGAAACTGATCGAAACTTGATGCACTGGGGTTATTCGGGGCGCGCCGACAACGAATATGACATGCAGATTATACTGTGGTGTCATCTGACGAGGTTACGGTAGGTTTACGGTAGATAGGAGAAAATCACGAAACTGATCGAAACTTGATGCACTGGGGTTATTCGGGGCGCCGATAACGAATATGACATGCAGATTGTGCTGTGCCAAACTATGCCAAATTATGCCATTGCCCGTGCTAAACTCGGAGTTTCGACCAGATTACTACCGACCCAGGTTATCTTTTGCTAGAAATTTGCACTGGATGACCGGAAATACCGATATAGCCATGCAAATTCATTCAAAGTATTGTACCTTCCACAGTCACCATGCAGAATTTCGGTAATAAAAGCAATCAGGATAAACTATAAAATGCACATTCAATATTTCTCAGTAATCTGAAGAATATTTGTAACATTTTTGACATAAGCATTTTTATTCAAAAGTCGTTTAAGAGGACGGTAGTCAGGGTCAAGCACGGGGTGTGGCGCGTCACGCCTTGGCGGCAGAGTCAAGCGTGTGATGCGACTGTCGCAACGTGGGGTCATAAAAGGGGCACCGGCAGGGGGGGGGGGGGGTCGTAAGAGAGAGTGGTCCGAATTTAAAAAAGTGTCGCAAACATACTCCACTATTCAAAAACAGTATTTTTTGCCCTGCAAAAAAGATGTCGCAGACAGGGATCGAACTTGTTGGCCACAAGTATGACCGAAGATTCCAAAAACACTTTCACAAGCTCAAACACTAGGCATGTATGTGTGACAAGGATGTTAAATGTACCAATTGGCCTAGAAATTCTGGTTCTCATGAGCAAAATGGAAAGACCGGCGCTATTACGAGCCCACTTATGTACTGCCGATATATTGATGATTGTTGCATCATAACATCAACACAGTCCAGAATGGACGAGTGTTTCAAAATTTTAAATCACAGTACGTAAATTTTACTAGAAAAGCTCCCCGAAGGTTGGCTTCCGTATTTAAACACTTAGCTAATGTTAAGTAACGGTACGGCGAGTAAATGGTATCGCAAAGAGAGCTCCAAGAATATCATCTTAGACGCGAAGTCAGCCCATCCGATGGCCGTAAAACGAGCAGTGCTGCGGGACATGTATAAAACGGCAAGAGTAGTCTGCAGTGGGGAGAGTCGACAAGAATCCCTCGAACTGGTAAATGAGATAGCAGCTTCCAATGGCTACTTCTCATCAAGGTCTAGTCATTTCAAAAACACCGCAAATAATGATGATAGCTAAGCTCGTACCAGAATCCCATTATGTCTACCGTTTATTTCCGATAAGGTAAAGCACGCTTTCTAGAATTGCATAATACAAGCTCAGTTGGAGCAAGATGTTGTTCTCGTAAGCATTCCCCGAAGCAACATCAAGCGACAACTAGTGCGTAATTGTTCACTTATACGATACAGCCTGTATTACGAGGGATAGCGTTGTCCTTACGGGACGATGGGAGACTGTACCAAATTTGGCATTATCTACGAAATCGCATGTCTAGAATGCCACGCCACCTACATAGGAGACCGGTCGTCAACTCAGCGTGCGAATTAATGAACGCTTGTCTAGTGAAAGACGGGAAAGCATGTCAAGTCCGCTAGGGGAACACAGGAAGGTAAAACATCACGGCAATGACTTCAGTATCGAAAGCATCATCCTAGGTCACGAGTCGAAAATTGCTACTCGCAAAGTGCTTGAAGCGGCATACATTCTTTCGCGCCAACCACTGACTTCAGTATCGAAAGCAACATCCTAGGTCACGAGTCGAAAATTGCTACTCGCTGCTTGAAGCGGCATACATTCTTTCGCGCCAACCTAGCTAAACGGAAAGAATGAGCAGCTCTCCATCACAAGTGACTTGATGCCATTTCTGTCATACTGTCACTTATAAATAACATATCCACTACTACTTAAGCTGTCCATATCGGTCAGTTCTAGTCTATTACCACCAGTAGATCTCAAAGATCTGTTGTTGCCTGATTGGTAGAGATCTTGGTACGCTACTTACAAGTATTGTCCCAACGTGTTTGCTCCTAGGGCATTGAACTGAGCTTGTTGAGAAGAGAGATTTGACGGCACAGAGTGAAAAACAAGTGCGAGACTTTTTTTCAGGTCTCTGATGAAGGCATTTTTGCCGAAACGTCAAACCAAAATAAGGAACTCACCAAACTTGCGTGGCTTACAACATATCTTATGAATTCAAATGCTCAGGTTTCATGATCAGAGGACGTATAGAATATTCATGCACTAATTAATATTCCTCCTTTACTTTCAAGTACCTGTGAAACGTTAAAATACACTAATTATAAGCTACTCTGCCCAAAGGGCAATAAAAATCACGCCTCACACATTTATACTAAAGGCTATGGGGATTATAGGGTTTGCCACAAAAAATTTTCAGAATTTTTTCCTTCAAAGGAAAATCTACGCAGCCTGGCTTGAGGCTATATGTTCGCGTCGAGTCATATTGCATTACGGACTGGAACATTACCTTTGTTGTGGACTTACAACACACATGAAAAATCCTACTAGAGCACATGTCACTATCCACTCCGTATTAGCATCATATACGAATGGCCAGTTTTCCTGAACGCCGAATAGATGAAAGTATTAGGTCGTTCCGAAAGTAATGTCGCTTTTTTCAAACGTACGCCACCCGCGGAACAAAGATGTGTAAGAGATTTTGGTAGCATTTGATGCAGCAGCCCATTCTCTTTCTAATTGTTAAATAATCATTGCACAAAATTTAATAACCTTTCGAAAAATTATCAAAATCTGCGATCCATGCTTTTTGAGAAGGCCAAGTTTCACAATTTTTTCTAATTTCTATAACAACCCTCAGAAGGAGTCCAAGTAATGGATGGATAGAGCAAACTTTACAGGAACCAGTACAACTTTCTTCTACTTTCCAGAGCTCGTCATAATTTTTGTATAGATTTTTTGATGGAACTACCGAATTTTATCGGGCCCGTCTCAGACATAAATGCATCGAACACTAATAAATCTTCGAATTTTGAAACTTACGAAGATGGATATGGATTACCACTAACTTTACAAACTAAATGAGCATTCACCGCTTGAGATTAGCATTCGAAAATTCCGAGCGCAGCCATGGGCGTCCTGGAAAATCTGAATTATAATGATTTTATCCCGGAAAACAATGAATCGGAAACAAAAACAACTGGTAGAAAGAATAGAAAAAGCTGCGTCGAATGACACTCAAGTTGCTTGCCGGTCGTTGTCGTGTGAGGTTTGAGTTGACTAAATATGGAGTTTGATGGCGTTAAAAAATTGATTCTAGAATCTAAAAAGCAAGATAAGTAAAAGAAATTACTTGTGTCCTATAGGGTTTGCTCTATCTACTCGTCACTTCTGCTCCTTCGGAGTATAGGTACAACAACTTACAAAAATAGCCGAACTTGACCATGGCAAAAAGCATGAGTCGCAGATCTTGGTAATTTTTCGAGAGCTCATTGAATATTATGTAGCGAAATCACAAACTTTAGAAAGAGAATGAAATGCTGCATCGAACGATTCTAAGAACTCCTGGAATTGTTGATTCCATGAAATGTGGCGTTCATTTGAAAAAAGCGACATTACTTTCGGAACGACCTAATACATCTCTAAACATATTGAAGCTCAAAAAATCATTACCTGAAAGTAATTGCGCCACTCGTTAAGACTGGGAAAACTGAGTAATGATAGCGCAAAAATAAACACAACAAACCATTTGTTTGTAAGCACTTTTATCTCCATACGGAAAAAGTAGATCATAGTCTGCAACAAAAATGAACTCTGATTTTAAGAATCTATGTGTAAATTATTCAGTAGATTTGGAAACTGTCGTGGAGATTGTTGCTCTCTAGTGGCGTGCCGAGGCGGGGGGAGGGGGGGGGGGGGGGACGGGTCGCGAAATTTTTGAAAGATTTTAAAAATTTTTGAAAGATTCGTTTTAGCACTACCACGCCCCCTTTTTCTGGAGTTTCGGGGTTCTGAGCCCGCGAAAATTCCCCCCTCCCCCGGAGCCGAAACCTTGGGTACGCCACTGCTTTCTACATACAGTCGTGACCGTGGAATTTGTCCAAAATTGCGGGATTTTCGGGATTCGCGGGATTTTCGGAATTCGCGATGTTTGCGGGATTCGCGACTTCACGGGATTTGCTGGATTCGCGATTCACTGCTCTCTACATATGTATGAAATAAGTAAGTAAGCGTACTTTATGACACATTTGCAGGATAGTGACTAGCATCTTCGCTTCTTGTTCGTAGTAGGTCAGGGTACGATCTTGTATGGGAACTTTGACCAGAAGGAATAGAAAAAAAGTCTTGATCAGCACACAATTTGGTCTGGCTCCTGCAAAAAGATTTGATGCAGCAAAACATCCTACATTCTATCATTTGTATTAGATAGTCTCAAAAGTATTTTGGTCTTGAATTTTTACCGCAGTAATTCATAACCCTTCTCAGTTTTGATTAGGACAGGGTACCGCGCGGTAGAGCAAACCAGCTCTACAAGATGGCTTGAGAGTTTTCGCACAAGCAGCAACTGTCTCCTTGCAAAAAAACCTACCGGATCACGCACTAGTTCGCACATATTTACCCCACAAAGACATTCATATATGCCGCTGCTATATTTTTACTTAGGCTAGAATTTAAGAGAACGAAAACTCTCATACTTTAACTAAAACGATACCGTGGTGTTCCCACATAAGGAAATGTGACTAGAAGCTTTCAAAAGTATAACCTTGAATTTTTTGCTTTTTATAAGCTTTCATTTTTAAAAACTATTAAGGTAGTGTTTCTTATTTATATGTCTCATGGTACCAATATTCCTCAGGGAAATTCACCTAACTTAGGTCCTTTTGAAAAGCGATATCTTTATTTGGAATCATCTTGAAATGCTGAATCCAGATATCTTGTCGCTAGCTGCGAAGCGTTAGTCTGAACAGAGTTGTGGGCTTTTTTCCTGTGCAAAATTTAAATGCTAATCGACATACGGAGATTACGGTATCATCCAGAGGTAGTGCACATGCATAATGCTCCCCATCAGCACCAAAAGACTGCACTCGATGTTATTTCAATACTCCAGCACCATTTCTAAGCAGATTTCTATTAGGTTGTAAAGAAAGTTCCCGGGCAGCTGCAGAAGTTCAAATCGCTGTAACTTCAAGCAGATTGATTTTTTTAAAGCTACAAACTTCATTGCAAAGACAATTTTGTCCACAACATATATTTGTCTCGCTGGCTTTTCAGCGCCTCACTGCGGTCCACCAGTATGCGCAGAAGAAAAAGGTCGTCGCGAAAACTGGCCTATTTGTGCGGATTATCTCAGGCATGATGAGAGCTGGAGAACCCAGATGCTGCAGTTATATAGAGGTCTGCTGGGGCTGTTGGGGACCATTCATGTCTTTGAAGGACCACCTGCAAAAAAATTTTTCTCAGAAAATTGGAAAAATCGACCATTTTTTGTCCCCAAAAAACCATTTGAGTAAGTGATTTTGAAGTCTTCTCATTCTGCACAGGGTGGATAAAATTCTGATTACTGCGAAGTTGTTGGGGTACTACTGCCTTACACATCTTTTTGACCCATCATGAAGACGTGGCGATCCGCGCAGAAGCGACGCTAGCCGCGAAAAGGGTGCAGTCAGAGGCAAGTTCCACAGCTTGTAATTTCTGAGTGCAAATCGCAAAACTCGAGTGCAGCTGCGGGTAAGAAGAGGCCTCTCAATCAAATTACTTATGATTTGGACGAAATCCTTTGAATTGCACAAAAAATGGCCGTAGGAAGAAAAACTGGAAATTTTTGTGGTTGAAGGACTTCCCTTCTTGACGTGCAGATCAAACACGTCGGCATCCCTTTACTAAACAGTACGACCGAGCGTCGAAAATATGCGTTTGAAAATGAAATTTGCTAAATTGCCCGGGAACTTTCTCTACAACCTAATACTTGTAAGTTAACTTCCCATTTTTAGTAGTGCGTCAACGGGGCGTAGTAAAAAGCTCGTGACTTTTCTCAGAATAATGCTTCGCAGCTAGAAACAACAAATTTGAATTCGGCTTTCCAAGCTAATTCCAATTACAGGTGCATTTCATTAGAAGGCCTATCTGAGTTAGGTGTCTTCCCTCAGAAGCTAGAGCTTGTAGAGAGATGCTTATGCGTTTGACGTTCCATAGCATACACTCGCTTATATGAAAACAACACAGTATCTTTGGTAAAAGCATGAAAGTTCCTGTTTTCGATCCTCCGAAAAATAAATACAGTATCGGTACACATGAGTCTCTGATCTGGGGAGGTATTTATCAACCTTCTGCATGGAAAGGGAATCCTGTACGTCACAGCCCGTACAGGCGCGGGTGGTGTCGCGATATATGAGTCGAAACTCGTGATTGGGTCCATGCCTACTTGAGAACCTGCAAAGGACAGGAATACGTCAGCAGCGCGAGCGGGCGCACATCAAAATCATCTGCTGGCGTAAACTTTGTACTTCGCAAACACATGAAAACCCACTGCTTTTATTTTTGACCTTTCCTTTCTGATCTTTGACCACATATACTGTGCGAACACACTTAAATGCACATCTAGTGGTGTTCAACAGTTTAGTTAGGGTAGATTAGTTAGAGTCATTTTTTTGTACAGAGTGCCAAAGAACGGCCAATTGTCCTATATACCAGGCACTTATAAAATATTGTTCTTTGGAGGAGAGTTCATAGCACTGGGAGTATCTGAAAACTTTTGAAGCAGAATGTTTAACAAAAAGTCCACTGATTTCTACCCGGTAAGTCCTATGTTCTGATCCAGTTTATGGACGAGTATGCAGTTCTTGTGATCCGCCTAACAGATTTTCGTTCGATTATAAAAGTTTTAGTAGCTAGGACTTCTACAAAGCGGTACATCTTGTCGCTTTAGAGTTGGCTATGTATTAGGTTGTAACATAAGTCTTGAGACACTCTAACTTCTTATGGCGATAAGTCATGCAGTTCACATTTTCAATAGGGGTCCAGGGCACCATTCAATAGAGTAAAGCAAGCCCTACAAGAATTTCAGCAAAAGTTCGCACCAACTGACCGACTTTAAATTTGCATCCAAAATGTGAGCCGTACTGAAGGCTCAGAAAATCGCGGAAAATTCATATCTTCGTTAGAAGAAATCCTACGAATCTCCAACTTGCTCACAAAAATTGCACACTACATCAGACACTCATACTTACCGTTCCTAAACTTTTTTCCTCATTTAGAAATCGAGCAAACAAAAATTTTCAAGTTTTCACAAAAACGAAACTAAGCTGTTTCCACTTATGTAATTGTATACTACAATCCCTGGTGCCGTAAATTCAGCTTTTTACAAGCCCCATTTCTCGGAAAATATTGATTCTAGCATGAAACACGAGAGTGAGGAGTAAAATTGACATTTCTCGAAAATTAAGGCCGTGGAGAAGTGAAAATCTACGGTTATACTTGTAAGGGACTGTTGTATACAATTACATACGTGGAAAAAAGCATAGCTTCGTTTTTGTGAAGACTTGAAAATTTTCGTTTTCTCGATTGCTAAATGAGAAAAAAATTTAGGAACGGTATACATGAGTGTCTGATGTAGTGTACAATTTTTATGAGCAAGTTGGAGATTCGTACTATTTTTTCGAACGAATATATGAATTTTCCGCGATTTTCTGAGCCTTCAGTAGGACTCACAATTTGAATGCAAAGTTAAAGTGGGTCGAAGTTGGGGCGAACATTTGCAGACTATCTTTTAGGACTTGCTTTGCTCTGTCGAATGGTGCCCCGGGTCCCTATCGATAACGTGAACTGCATGACTTATCACCGTAAGAAATTAGAGTGTCTCAAGACTTATGTTACAACCTAATACATGAATAGTCATGAACAGAATGAAAAAAAAAAAGGGCGATATCTAACTATAAGTTGCAGATGTTGTATGAATACAAAAATTTTTGTCAACAAAGAAAATGACAGACCATTTCAAATGAGAGAATTTTGCCAGAAAAGAGAGATAGAAGGAAGAGAAAATGAGTTCTACTGTGCATATGTCTTCACATATTCATGCCAAAGTAAGAAAGAGACTTACTTTTCATGATTCTTGAAAGGCAATGACATCAAATTCAGTTTAATCAATAACAGCAGTAGCATATCAATTAAATTTGATGTTATTGTTGATATATCATAGAATGTTATGCCTGTCAGTGAAAAGCAATTATTTATTAAAAAAAGCATCTTTCCATATTGTTTGGCCATCAAATTAGTGCGGAACGTGGTCTCACGTTCCCATCTGGCAAGTTTGGCCGTGTCGGGCACGGCAGTCCCGATCTCGACGGGTGCGCTTCCCGTTTGGTCACGCTTCCCAGACTTTCATAAATCGCAGGAAGGGCTCGCCTGTCCGGGCACTTTTTAATAACTGCCCGAAAAGCGAGTGGGAGATTGATAAATGCCGGCCCTGGAGTGTGCGTGAGCAAGTTAAGGTTTTCATAGGTGCAGATCTTTCTTTTGAGGTACTTTAGCTTTTCTTTGTAGGTAATGCCAACTACTTTTCGTTCTCCCAAATTTCTAAAAGAGCGCGAAAAGAATTTCTAAACCTAAATTCATCTCTCACGCTCTTTATGCTGCTTTACCGCTCAAGTAAACGAAGAGGAGTTTGAAGAGGGCTATTTTTGAACGTAGAATGTTTGCATGTCCGAACAGTTTTCAGGCAGAAAAAAGCAAGAATTGTTATAAAAAATATATTCGAAGTAAAAGCAGTTTTCAGTTGTCCTTTAGCTATCTATGGTGCTGATTCTCACTCGTTATCGAGCAGGTAAACCTGCAAAGGAATCAGTAAGCTTTAGCGAAAATTACGTTTATACAGGGTGTCCCAAAAAAATGTATCGAACGTTTGATCGTTAATATCTCTCTTCCCAAGAAGTCTTTTGCCTTGCTTCAGGTACCAGTCTGTAGAGCTGGCTTCAACTTAGATTTGCGTTATAGAACGAATCACTCATTTCTCTTCATTACTATAGGATTGCGGTAGAAACTTCTAAGAGGGTTTTAAGCAATGAAAGGCCATATATTGTCTCAGAAAGGAAACAAAACAGCTTGAAAGCTTTTACGCTAGGCTAAATGAAGTTGCTGATTATAACTGTAAAGTTCCCAACTTATTATGATGCGTCATTGTAGAGTAATGCCAGGTAAGAGGTAGCGGCCATTTTTTCAATGTTCCTAAAAAGTGCGGTTACACCGTTTAGAAAGCTTCGTAATCTTGTGA